TCTTTCTCTGTTGTTGTTATTTCTTTTTTTTTTTTTCTTAAAGTCATGTGCTCCTTTCCCACTAGTGCTGTCGGCTCCGGAGGTCTCTCTTGCAGCGATGTAAACACGGCTACTGTGTGTCCCTGCGATTGCAGCCCGTAGCTCACAATGAGGCAGCCAGTGCCAATAGATGTATAATGAGCATTTAAAAAGCACTTATTTTGTCATCCAATCATCGATCATCCTCATTGTGTAAATATTTTTTTTTGTTTCCACAACAAAACGACTTTAAAAGAAACGTTCACCAGGAAGAAAAATAAAATTGATTCTGGTGATAAAATCAGGACAGTCAAAATGATTAATATGACATCAGGGAAAGCTCGCAAATGAGGTTTAATTTCTGTGGCAAAAAGACCTCGTGGATACATCAGTGCTATGTTGTGCTTGGAAATTTAGTGGCAGCTGGAAATTTGATGGTGACCTCCGATAAACGAGAAAATGGTGAGAGTTTTAATGAATGACTTGAATAAGAAAATAAATAAGCTAGTCTGTGTGGTATTCTTCAAGATATTTGTTTTGCTATTAAGTTTGGTTAATGTGGTTCTCACTGTGTCATGGTGATCGTGTTGACAGCACATCATGACATATGAGCTTTGTGGCTGTTTGACTGTCAGGGAAGGGGATACATTACCTCAAACTCTCTAGGTAGAACAGGGAGGTGATTGTAATAGGAGGGCATCTGGAAGCCCTTGGCAGAAGATGTCAGAGATCGTAAAGATATAAAGCGTCCTGTGGATCGTCTTTGCTCTCCTCTGTCAAACTGGCCACAGAACCTAAATGAATTCCTTCCTGTTCACCTTTTTTTAAATTTTATTTTATTTGTGAAGAAAATTTAGTCTGGAATTACATCTAGAAAATGGGGATGAGGTAAGGGGGCTTTAACCACAAAATTTGGAAAAGTTACACTCATGGTTGATTACGTTCATTGTAGTGTGTTCTTAGCCTCACTGTTAAATTACAGTGTTTATTCTGTGGCTCTTGTATCTTTGTTGTGAGGTTTAGGAGCACTCTTATGAAATGTTGATTCCCCATGTGAATATTTATAGACTATGTTTGAGTCACCTCTTAATCTTCCTCTGGGTAAAACCAAACCAAACTCCATGTTTCTGTCACTATAAGGCACGCTTTCAAGGCCTTGCTCATTCTCAGTTTTTCCAGTTCAGTGTCCTCCTCCTCAGCTGTAACACATTCCTACTCCTGGTGGTAGCCACTGCCCAGAGCTGCTGGCCACCAGCTACACCCTGAGGTGCTGTTCAGTAGAGGGCAATGGGAACCCGCCTAGGCTGGTTTTCATCTGAAAAGTGGACCTGCATGGAATAGATGAGGAGACCTCAGGGGCCAGTGGGCTACCTGTGAGAGCCTGTACTTGCCACTAGAAGCTTTCCCAAACGCTGTCAAAGGCAAAGCAATGTTTTTCCAGCTTTTAGAACAGTAAGGGCTGTATAAAAGCTGTTACTTTCTTCATTCATAATATTGCAATTGATTAAAACCTCAGGTTTTCAGTCCTTTCTAGTTTCAGCCTAGGGAAGGTAGAGCAAATCAGCCTGTCACAGTTCAGTGACTTTTCTTGGTGATCTTGCAGAGCCCACTTAAATATAGTTCCCCCAAGAATTCCTTAGTTGAAGGCTGGAAACTTGTGAGCTGAAATACACACAGAGGGAAAACAAAAGGCATCATGCTGACATTTTTTTTATCTTAGAGCATATTCAGTTCTTGGATGACCATCTCAGTAAGCCTTCCCAAGACTCTGCAACTCATTTCAGATCCCTGCAATTCATCCAGACAGGTCGTAACTCCATGGTCCATGCATCAGGAAAGAAGTGCAGTAATCCCTGAATAACCTTGACTAATGCCATAATGAACTAATGGCAACTTTTGGAAGCTCTTCAGTACAGTATAATGTTCAGCCTTGATCCTTTGAGTTTATCTGGGCCTTCATGAACACAGAATTGCTGAACTGACATAGAAGTTCCTGTTAGACTTTTCAGAAGCAATTCAGATGTTTGTGGTGGGAGCCCTAAAGGTATAGAGATGCTTTGTTTCTTTTCAGTTTGGTGAGAGTTAAGTGTTTAATTTCTTTTACAGATCTAAATTTTTACTTAGCCATCTCTACACTGTTCTAATGCTCCCATGCTGACATCCCTCCAGCCCCCTGGCTAATGGGAACACCTTTCTTCTAGAGGATAAAGGGAACAGAATATGTGACTGTGTCTTAGTCACTTCATTGTAAGTTCTGCTAGTTTGTCTCTAAGTGCTGAGAAACTGATCAAAACTTCTTGACTCTCCAGTGAAGCAGATGAAGGTCATACATGTTTCCCACTCAGTGCTTAGCTAAAGAGATTGCAATGACCAGTGAAGCAGCAGAACAAACTTTTGAAGCAATAACATCTTAAACTGAAAGTGCAGATACTAATGCTTGAAGGTTTTGTGTTTGTTTTAGTTTTGGTTTGGTTTGTTTTTGTGTTTTTTTTGTATATGTGTTTGGGGTATTTTATTGTTGTTTTTCCTTTTTTAAAAAAATCAAAAGAATTTACAGAGTTAAATAATTGTTTCTCTTCATACCAGCTTGAACTCACTGGCACAGTACTTTAGTGTCCAGGCACAAATGGCGACAGAAAAAGATACTTATTCTTAAAATACCTCTTTTTCACACAAAATGTATCTCCAGGTTCTTCGTAACATTACCTCTCGCAGAAAAATCCAGCAAACAAAATATTCACTCAATCCCTTTTAATCATATGATCAAAGTATTTTACCATGGCAAATTGAACAAGCATCTAAAAAGAGAGATGAAGAGCAATGAGTACAGCAGAGGGAAGGAAATTACTTTGATCTGGGAGGGAGTAGGAGAGCAAAGGGAGGTCTGGGTGAGAAAGCTGTAGGGGAGAAGAATTCTTCACTGAGGGGCTGTGTTAGGGAAAGAGGAAGAGCAGATGCTGGGTGATCAAGGAAGCCCCAGAGGGGAGCAGAGGAGGACTTGGTCTCTATGATGTGGTGGATTGTGAAGATCAGGAAAGGGTATTTGATGCTGTGGTACAAGTTTCCATGCTGGGGGAAGAGCAGCAATTAGACCAGAAGGTGGTTGAAATTTCTTTCATGAGATGTAGACAAGGAATAAAGATGTCTTTTTCCTCAGATTTGGCTGAGCAAGGAATGGCAGGGACAGAAACATCTGGAAGACAAAGCTGCTGCCAGAGTGTTTGCAAAATTAATTAGCAGATCTCACCTTATTTTCTCCATTCAGCAACAGGCCAGAGAAGAAATAAAGCAGACTATTTTAATGTAATTTTTACTCCAACATATTTGCTTTCCAGAAAGATACTAAAGAAAATACTGACATGCCAGTCTTGATGAGATCCTTTGTTTCATGTGATGTGGTAATTTACTCTTACATTGGACTTCATATTTCTCCAGTTGGTGCAGCAAACTACTCAAACTGTGGGAGGATATTTACTGTTTAAAGAAGGACAGTTTAGCAAACTTTGTCTTGTTTCTCTGTACAAGAACTATATGTAGGCTTTGCTCAATCAAGGTCTCAGATGTTGTGTGAACAGAGCTAAGTATTTTTAAGAGTATAAAAAAGTGACAAGATAACTCCAGCCATTTGGCTTTGTTAGAACCAGGAGTTTGTCTAGCTGTGTAGTGACAGAGAAGGAGAAACTACCTTAAAGGAACATTGATTTGTGCTATTTCTTAATGTGAAACTGGGACAGGCAGATATAAACAATGCATCTTAAAAACTTTAGACTCATAGCATCTCTATGAACCTGCTGTTACCTTTCAGGTTACCTTTTCCTTCAGTTCAAGATACAAACAACCAATGCCTATACTATGTCTGACTCTATTTAGCTTGACCTAAAAATGATCTATAAATGCTGTGATAATATCAATATTCTATAATCATGGAAGAAGAATAGAAAAATCATCTGTCTGAAAAAACTCACTGGCAGTAAAATCTGACAGTGAATGCCAACAACTACCCTGAGTAAACTGGCTTTTTCTCAGCTGAAAGATGACCAGGAACCTGATGGATAAGGTTCTTCTTCTGAAAGAAGCGATTAAGCTCTTTCTCCTGAAAACTGATTGAAATATGTTTAATGACTCAAAATAATTGTTTCCATTTCTGCTGGTGGATACACAAGAGAAAATGACCAAACGGGGAACCCTTCTACCCTTTTGTTTCCCCTCCATAAACTATCAGACCAGAGGATTGATGGGACAGGAAGGTGCCCTGAGAGCAGGGGGTTAGGAAAATGATGGGTATGGGTAGCCTTGTGTGTGACGGATCAGGATCTGCAACTTGAAATGGCAAAGAAACAGATTTCTCCTTACTGAGAGGGGGAGTTGAGATAGGAAGCCCAGGAGGGTTTTGAAGGTTTAGGGGTGAGTTTAGTCCTTGACACTGTCCTCTTGTTCCTGCACCTCCTCTGGCAAATTTTGCCTCTGGCTCTCTCGGAAAACACCCCGACACAAAGGTCACATGAACATGAGGCACAGGCCGGCGTTAAGAGACAGACACCACTACAGCTAAAGCAATCAGCTGTCGTTCGCTCACTCAGGGACCTCCGCGGAACCTGAGCCGGGCTTCCACACAGATGTCGGATGGAGCTCTCAGGTCGCTCCTGCGGCTCTGCTTAAAGCCCGGGCAATTCGGAGCCCAGGGCAGGTCCAGCAGAGCCAGGGGTCGCCGGGGTCGCCGGGCTATCCACCTCCATCCAGCCCTTCCCTCGCCACGGCCCGTCAAACCCCGCTCCGTGCCGGGCCCGCCCCCGCCCTGCCCTCAGGGGCGGGCGCTCCGCCCCGGGGATGGCGGGCCGTGCCCGCCCGGGGGCCGGGGCTGGCGGCGGGGCGGGCTGGGGGAGGGCTCGCCGGGCTCCGGAGCTCCGGCACGGCCAACCCGCGGCCGCCGGGGCTGAGCCATAAAAGCGGCGGGAGCCGCCGGGGCCGCGGCTCCAGTTGGCGGCAGCCGTGCCCGGCACGCCTGGGGTGGGCAGCGCGGCCGCCCCCTCCGCAGCCCCAGGGACCGCCGCCGGGCCGCCCCCAAGATGCTGTTTTGGCACACGCAGCCGGAGCACTATAACCAGCACTCGACTGGCAGCTACCTGCGGTGAGTCCCGGGCGGCGGGAGCCCCAGCGCCCTGGCACAGCGGTCCGTGTGTGTGTTTGGGGAGCGGGTGCCCCCGCCCCGCCGCCACCCGCCCGGCGGCACCCCGGGCTTAGCGCCGCTCCCTCCGTCTGAGAGACCGCGGGTCCTTCTTCTTGGTTTTCCCTTTCTTTTTTCCTTCTTTGTTTTTTAGCGCCTCGTTAGACAGCTCTGTGCAGCTTTGCTTTACCGCTTGTGCCGGGTTCCCTCTCTCCCCTCCGTGCTGAGGTGGTGCGGCTCCAAGGGAGGAGGTGAGGCGGCGGCGAGGCGCTGTCAAAAGTCTCTGGAAAACGCCTGCTGGCAAACTGAGAAGGCACGCAGTTTTCTGGGGACGGGATTTCTTCCTCTGCTTTTTGGGACGATGTGTGAAAAGCTCAGAATTTCACTTTCTGAACTTGCCTAAACCAGCTTTTTCCTGCCTCCGCACAGTTGCGTTTAATTAAATGTGCCTAATTTAAGTACAAGGGCTGCTAAACAATAGTCTGTAACATGTGTAGCACAAACCCGTGTTTCCTCCCTCTAAGCGATGTGAAAGCAGGCAACTTTGGGAGTTTCCTTTTTGCTGGTTGCTTGTGAATTATTTGTTTTCCGAAGATGTAAAGCTCGGCCCCCAGCTGCTGTCTGCTGCCGCTGCTCCGCTAAAGCAGGGTTTTACTGAATTTTGACAGGGGAGAACCTGGCCGTGGCCCAAGAGCCTGACTTTCAAACGTACCTCCAAACAACCCCTCTTGGGGGAACATCGAGTTTGTCTGGGGAAGTACTTACAGATAATACTTCCTTTTCAAGGAGACACTCTATCTTGACTATTCCTACTCCCTATCAGTCTATTTACAAAGGAATATTTTTTTTTATACCCAAACAATAATCTCCCATTATCAAATGATACAATACTGTAAGATTCTTGCTTTCTGGCAGCTTCTCCACTTCATACAAGATTCTTCATGTCGTCCCTCTATATCAGTAAGTCAGTTTCACAGCATGTATGTGCCAAAAGTCTTGTTCTCTTGCTTTGTGCTTGCAAATCTGAGTAGTTTAGGAAAGTGAGGACGGCAGTAGCAGAGGAGCATCAGCATTGATACTTGTGTGTATTCTCAGCGTTAGAGAGTGTTTATGGTGCTCAGGCTGCTTCATTAACTCCATGGATTTGTAGCACAGTGCTTCTATATCATCAAGTCTGGGTCAGGTTTGAGTCCACAATTTAAATTTCGTGTAATTGGCCAGAAAACACATTCACTTATTTTTGCTGGCTTGATGCTAGCTGGGGGATAAAGGATACCTTTCTGTCAGGAAGGCTGCTGGTATGGTGGTGACCTGTCCGTGTTTTAGGAACAAAATTCAGCTTTAGTGAGTATCTGTTACTGTGACCATAGTGTTTTTGATTTGGTACTAAAAGCCCTAAAATAAGTTTTATGGCAACAATGCCCTCGGGTGTTTCAGGGAAGATTGGTTGAACAAAACCCTCTTTTTTTTTTTTTTTTTTGTGTAGAGACCTCTTAATTCTGGCCAATTTACTTTCCATGAGAATGTGTCAAGACATGCATTTCTAAGAGGGGCATTTTTTACTGAGCTGTGCCTTTCTGAAGGCTTTTCATACCCCCTTGTAGCGACTCTGCACAGGAAACTGAAACAGTATAATTCTTGAAGTTGCTGTAAGAAAAGTTTATATAAATTATACTTTGCAGAGATCAAAGGCTTTCTGTGTATCTGAGACATCCATGTAAGTTCTACCATACCTCAGTGGCATTTGTAGTTAGAGCAAGGTGATATTACAGAAAAGTCCTTGTAAATTTTCATTCAGTTTTTAGGAAAACCGGTACATGTTTTACTTTCTGTTCTGTCAGCTGACTGAACTCTCAAATAACTTCTTCTCTTCTTGGGTAAGCAACGGTCTAATTGTTGTTTAAGACCAGAACTGGAAAGTTTTAGCATAAAGGTGAAACTTGTGAGAGTTCTAAGAAGTTCACCTTTTTTTTTTTTTCTTTTTTGAGAGTTGACTATTGTGATGGCTTATATACTTAACTTAAAAATTCTTTTAAGCCTTCACCTCCTAATTTCCAAACACCTCTAAAAAGGTGAAATGTTTTAGAAGGTCCTAACCCAAAGCCATGGATACCATGGGCCATTGGTTCAAATGCTCCAGGAATAAAAATGTGATTGAATTGTGTGGCTTCACTGGGGCTTTAATATGGTGAAGTTTTTCGGAAACCAAATCATGAATTCCTCCATGCTTACCATCTTCAGCAATCAGACAGCTGTTCTGGCAAGTGCAGGGGTGCTGTCAGCCTGATGTAAAATATGGTATTGGTGGAATTTTGATTTCCTCTTGCCTACATTCCTCAATTGTTTCAGGTGAGGAGGTGTACAAATTACTCATCCCTAACTGTTAAACCCGGGCCAGACTTTGTGCACTGTTTCTGCTGAACTGCAGAAGTTTCGGGCTTTGGAGTTTTTGACCTGTTCTCGTCTGTAAAGCCGCACACATTCCAATGGCATTGTGCGGATGAGTGTGTTAAGAGCAAATGTTGGCATCCTGGGTGAGCAAGATGACTCTGGAGCACTATCAGATCCTGCATGTGTGTGGAGCAATGCTATCTATTTCAGAAATCTACTGCAGGCATTTCTGTCACTTCATTACTGTAGTAAATCATCACTAAGGAAAAAAACCCTCTCTATGGCAGCAGTTAGGCAAGAGCTGTGATTATGTCAGTAATGCCAGTAAGCAAATGGGGCTGGATGCCTTCGAGTGGGTGATAATATGGAGGGCGTGGGGCTGGAATGGAGAATGGAAACAGAGATGGGTGTTTCTTTTCTCCTGTTTGTGTCTGAAATGGCACATTTTGCTCTTTGGCTTTATTTTGCCATAAATAGGACTACCGATGTTTAAACCAGGCACTTCAGCAGTTTGCTCTAAACTGCTGCACCGTTTCACTCATGACCTGGGTAGCCTTCAAGGTTGTGGGTGCTGCAGGTGGATCATTAACTGAACAGGCAAGGCAAAAATTCTTAATGCCCTTTCAGGGAGCATGCCTGTACATGCTGGCGTGTGCCTGGATGTTTTTTCTTAAAGCTTTTTGTGTATGAGATAATCAAAAGGAGCAGAACTGCAGCCTCTGTAATGGGAATCTTAAGTCTTCACACATCTGGAGGAAATGGAGGAGAAAAACAATCTTATTCTGAATTGTCTCTGTGTTCAACATAATCCTCCTAATTTGGAAGGATATTAATGTCTTAAGTAGGTGGACACAATGATCAGAAGTGTTTGTGACTTGGGTAAGACTAGTGTGGTTCTTCAATATCAGACAAGCTGAGACAAGGATGCTTATTCCTGGCATCTCATTTTGTACTAATCAACTAATCATTTGTTGAGCTCTCAGCCTTGCTAATACCAGTTCTGCTTAGGGATTAGCGTGGGTTGGGATCAGCCTGACACTAAATCAGCAGGCAGGTCAGCATCAACATCTTGTAATGAAGTGAGGACAGGGACTATGTGCAGGTCCTGGTGAAGATGCTCCTGAACACCTGTGTGTGCATTTATGGAGGTGGCCCAGTGCTGACTTAAGAGCTATGTGGTTACTTGGGACCAGGCTTATTAGAGTGCAGGAGATCTCATGAGTCAATTAATCCAGCAGTTCATACCATTATTTATCTGAATGTCTCCTTTTTACACAAGAGCTATGTCTGTTCCTTGGCCTTGGTTGGTACTCGTAGACATTTTACTAACCAGGCATTCAGCTGTCAGAGTGCCCTTTCTTGCTTTTTTGTTCCTGAAAGGCTTTCATCTGAGAACCCAAGAACTCTTAAACACGTACTTCCACAAGGATGAAGAATCTATTTTTGGTATTTTTTTCCTCATCAACAAAACTGCTTAACTGAAAAGTAAATCTGATTTAATTTTTAAAAACATAAATTAATTCTCATACATTCTGTATTACCAGTGCTGTGTTCTTTTTTGTGCTGTGCTGCTGTCCTAAAGGCAGAAGTTGCCTGGTTACTTTATACAGGCAGAATTCTTTCTCTTTTAGCCATTTTAACTCTGTTTCTTCAGAGACCATCTCCATGAGAACCAAGTGCAGATTTAGGCTAGGATGTTCCATATACTCTTTGTGACTGAATGTGTGTGAACTGTATGTTGCAGAGATGTCCTTGCGCTGCCGATTTTCAAGCAGGAAGAACCTCAGCTGTCTCCTGAGAATGATGCCAAACTGCCACCCTTTCAGTACGTCCTCTGCACAGCCACATCACCTGCCGTGAAACTGCACGAAGAAACCCTGACCTACCTCAACCAAGGTAGGGTTTGCACTACACTGAAGAAGAGCACATTTCCTGGGAACAGTTCATGAGAGATTTAATCCCATGCTTGTCTCACCGGGAGGGCAGCGGGATGGGAAAAGAGGGATAGAGATGGGGAGGGGGCTTGAGAAAAAGAGGAGTATTTAAATTTTCATATTTAGATACCAGTTTATCAACTATTATAAAATAATGAAGTACCACTGATTTAACTGTTGACTTAAAGCAGTGTTGTAGCATGTACAGTTCCCTGTGGCCAAGTCCTGGTGAGATATCAGACAACTTAAACTGCAGCCATAAGGCCAGACTGATAAGCAGATGGGCAAACTTTGGGTTGGGGAGGACTCTTAACACTGCAGTTCCCCTGGCACTGCTGGAGGGCATTGCCAGAAGATAGTTAACAGGTATCCAAGAGCTGCTCTGTGATCTGGGCAGAGCATGACATCACTCACACTGGCTTGGAGATATGGCTCTGCTCAGTGCCTAACTTGACAAGTTGCCAGGGTTCAGTGCATCAAGGTCCTCTATAACTGACCTCATAGGCCGGTTTTTACTCCTGGATAAACAAACACTGTGTGTTTCTCTTTCTCTACACTTTCCCCCCCTGCCCCCCCCCCCCTTTGGCAGAATTCATGCAGACACATCTCTGGTTGGTGTTTGGCTGTCACTTTGCAGCACCTCCTGCATGTGGGTCTTGAAGGGATCAGACCTCTCCAGGCACAGATTATGCTAACATACTATGCTTATTTTCTGCAAGGCAGTAAACAAGGGCATTAGCCTGACAACAACCTGGAGGGTGTCTGCACTGTTACTGAGATCCTCTCCTGCTTCAGGGCACTGCCCCAGCTCTTTAAGCTTCATGCAGAGTAGGATGCTCACTTGACTGCCTCCCTGGATAGATTTCTCTCAATGCTGGTAGAAATCAGAGCCCTGATCTCTTTTGGACTCTGACCTTAGGTGCAGCTGGCTGCTGGATCTGTGGTGGTAGCTGGTAGACCCATGGAACCCCACAGAAAGATCATCTGAGTACTGCAGGCTTTACCCAAGGAGCCAGGTGTTTCCTGTCACATCAGCTGGCACTGTTCTGTGTCCCAGGATCAAAAAAATGCTTTGGATGCCTCCCAGTTTATCCATCTAAACACAACAGACTCCAGGAGGCGACATGGGGCATATCAAGGGTGAGATTGAGATGAATCTTCCTGTGAAACACGATTCTTTCCTGTTTTGGGATAAAAGATTTTGTTGTGAAAAGCAACCAATGGCCAAATATTTTAGCATACATGAAGCAGTGCCTGCTGTTTTACCTTGGTGAGGAGAAAGCTAGACAACTCTTTATACAATTCCATGAGTTTTAAAAAACTTTGACTGGAGTAGTTTATGTTTTTCTATGCAAAGTAAGATGGTTACTGCTCTTCAGATAAACCATGCTGTGTTTTGGCTTTGTCCTGGCTTGTTATTGCAAGGAGTTGTTTCTTGCTACAGCTTGACACAGTATTGACCTGTTTCCTTGGCATTTCTTGGGTATCATCTGTCTTTCATCCCTCAAGGAGAAAGGCGGGATGTGTTCTTGTAGAATGTACCCTGGAGAATATGAGGCTGGACAGGCCTGGAGGACCAAAGCAGAGATGAGGCTGGGAGGAACTGTGCAGTGAGGCAGAGTTGGTAAGCTGCTGGGAAGTGGGCACTCCATAGTTCTGTTGGCTTGCCACAGTGCATGGAAACAGCACTTTCTCCTCAAAGGGTGATTAGTAGTAAAAGGTGATGCATCTTCTGTCAGTTGAGTGGCTCACAACTTTCAGTTCCCCTTGGCAGGAACTCTGCATCTGCCTGCTACCTTCTCATGAGCATCCACACCTCACTTATTTAAGCTCCCAAGCAGTTTGTCTTCCTCCTTACACCAAGTTGCTCTGGGTTTTTTTGAAAAACCTCTTAAAATTCAAGGGTCTCTGTATGTAGATTGTTTGTTTGTTTCTTTTGGTTTTGTTTTTTTTGTGTGTGTGGGGTTTCTTTTTTTTTGTTTGTGTGACCTTGCAGTGTACTTGCTTTAAAAGCTGTTCTGCTCTACTCCAAGACGTTGTTTCAGAGTCCATGCCATTGGCTGCACTCTGGCTCCCAGCACTGACCCTCTCCCGTAGCAAGGGCAGACCTTGACTGTAAATTTGTCTGACATGTAGTTTGCCTTGATACCAAATCCATTAGACCAAAATCCCTTGCCTGTGCTAGTTAGTAAAAGGGGCATGGAGTGTGGTCGCATGTGGATATGAGCTGCTGTGAGAAACCTGTGGGTTCACTAGAGGTAACTACAGATACGAGGAGACAAGGATGCTGGACACACCTTCCAACGAGCTGTGGTCAGAGCTGGGGTGTCTAATTGCTGTTGGTGGTGATACCTTGGAGTTTTGATGTTTTAATTTTTTATTTTTGTAGACCTTAGAAGTAGTTATGTAGTAAATGTAGATTTTAGAGTAGCAGCATATTATCCCTTTACCCTTAACACACCAGCTCAAACCCCTGTTACCCATTCCCCTATCAATTCCCTAAATTCCATAGCCTGTTTAGTCTCTTTTTCAAGGTAGAATTGTAGAAGAACACCCTAACCCTACGGAACAAGATATAGCCATAGACCCAACAACCTTCAGGCCTAGAATTCTGGAAGGCCTCCAAGGACATTATGTGCTCTGAGGAAGATGAAGATGAAGAAGAGGGGGTCCCAAAACGCCCCCAGACCCAATTCCCAAGAGGCGTGGCGGGGGCAGAACCTGGGTGGTGGCTGGACTGGATTGGGTGAAAATCATTATAAAAACTGTGGACATCTGTATTTCGAGAGCGCGCGCGCGCTGGGGTATTCCAGAAAGCCTGGGGGCTCATTAAAACTTTTGTATCCTTATCTTATCTCCTACCTTGGAGTTTTGATGTTTTAATTTTTTATTTTTGTAGACCTTAGAAGTAGTTATGTAGTAAATGTAGATTTTAGAGTAGCAGCATATTATCCCTTTACCCTTAACACACCAGCTCAAACCCCTGTTACCCATTCCCCTATCAATTCCCTAAATTCCATAGCCTGTTTAGTCTCTTTTTCAAGGTAGAATTGTAGAAGAACACCCTAACCCTACGGAACAAGATATAGCCATAGACCCAACAACCTTCAGGCCTAGAATTCTGGAAGGCCTCCAAGGACATTACGTGCTCTGAGGAAGATGAAGATGAAGAAGAGGGGGTCCCAAAACGCCCCCAGACCCAATTCCCAAGAGGCGTGGCGGGGGCAGAACCTGGGTGGTGGCTGGACTGGATTGGGTGAAAATCATTATAAAAACTGTGGACATCTGTATTTCGAGAGCGCGCGCGCTGGGGGTATTCCAGAAAGCCTGGGGGCTCATTAAAACTTTTGTATCCTTATCTTATCTCCTGATATCGGTGAGACCATTGCCTTGGGTTAAAAAGAGATGAGGATTAAAAGGCTCTGTTGGAAAATTAATCCCATTAATAGAATTATGTTGTATGAGCTTGGGGAGGTATGTGAAGGGGACCTTGAGGCAGCCAAGGTTTCTGGAATCAATACTCCTGGCACGGCAGAGGAGCTGACTGACTCCAAAGCACTGTGACCCAGCTGCAGTGCCACAGACATCTCATGAAGCAGTTTAGACCATTCCCTACACCTTTTCCTCTTATGCTGACTGTAAGCCAAGGGACACCTCTTGCACCTTACCCTCTCTCTGTGTTTATCATGGCTTGGTCAAACACTGTTACATAAAACTTCCCGTCTTCCTTGTATGCTTGGGTGTTGGGATGGATTGCTTTAGCAAATGGGTAACTTCATTAATGAATGTCCCTCCACCCTGCCTGTGTGTCAGTCATAGCTGGCTCCTGGTAAGGCAAATAGAAAGACACAGTGACTGTCCCAGCACCAACAAAGCAATTCACATCCAGTGTGGTTACTTTTCCAAACTGTGAGTAGAGGGTATGGGGTATTCTCATTGCTAGATACTCTTGCCACTTGTTCAGAAGGAGCATCTGAAGAGCTTGAGTTCTTCACCACGCAGTAACTGATCTTTTGTCATTGTGAAACAGCTCTGCTTATTGCCCTGAAACACGTTCTCCACATGTGACTGGTTCAGTGGTGGTGAGTGGACCAGCTCAGGAGGTAGTTCATAGGCAGAACTGGACGGGATGAAGGTCAGGCCTGACAGAGCTATGGAATGTGGAAAGCTGGAAGTACTAGGTAGAAACTTGAAGGCCAAGTTGCGTAGCAGAGATAGAAGAGGAACCAGTGGAGAGTTTCAAGTGAGATCTGAAAGGATTTCTTAAGGGCTAGGAAGAAGGACTATCCAGTGGCTATATTTGTATTCAGGGGAGAGGGCTCCAGGCTTGTGGAACACAATGACTTCTCATGAGCCTTGCTTCTTGCTGGATAGATCCAGAGAGATGGCCAGTGGTGCTGAGGAGGAAGAGGTCTTTGACCTGGGCTTGTCACAAGAGTGGAGGCTGAGAGGACTCCTGAGCTGGAGACCAGAGCCCAGTGTTTCCAGCAAAGGCAGGGGAAGTATTTGTGAGGGAGCACAAGGGAATGAGTTTAGCTGTAGTGTTAAGTTGACTTGGGGACATTCAGCAGTGGCAGAGTCCCAAGCTTGTCTACTCCAGTTTGAAACCATGAGTGCTTGCTGGCCACAACTCTAGAACCAGCCTGTAAATGAAGTAACTAGAGTCAAATCCTTAGCTTGGTTTCCAAAGACTGACTCATTACACTTGTCTTTCCTGATCTCTTACCCCCCTGCCTTCCCACATTCCTTGGAAAACTGGAGCCAAATTGAACACAGGCTTAGTTTGCTATTCTCCTTCATTAAGAGGTCTTTACTGGATCTCAGGAGGATTACTCATCTGATGGGACAAAGTGTAGGCTTATTAGTATGGTGTCTCAACACCACTCCACCTTCAGTCTACAAAACTGGTAAAGGTGCTGTCCTCACATTAGAAGCTGCTGCTGGCATTTCTCCTTTGGTCAG